ATCTATAGCGCGCTCTGCCGACTATACTACTTACTATATAAATATTAAGTCCTTACTACTGCTGTCTGACTCGACACCCTGACCAAATTTCTAACAGAGATATCCAACCTCAACTTGCACCTAGCGAGCAATTAATTAACCAGCAACTGAAGGTCCCCTGGAGATATCCGTGTTTTAAACTAGGATAATTGCAAAGCAAAAATACAAAAATTGAACACTGTACCACAGGTCACAAACGTTTCTGAAATAATAGCGTCAAAAATAGTCATCGTTCTCTAAAGTAAACAAATCTATACGCACCGCGCTTGCCCACTCTCATAAATTAAAAGCAAAGATTGGAGAACTGACTAGCTTCTACGTAACCCCTTATACCTCCTACGAAGTTTATGAACTCCTTTAGATGTCGTTAAAAAGAGAATCATGTTGGCAGAGTGAAGTCTTAACCATTCGCTCAGTTATGGAGCCGTTTGGAAAGAGGTTTATGTACAAAGTGAAATAAAAGGGTAAGTATTTTTTATTGTATTCTTATTTGACATCAATTTGACTATGTGTAAAGCTTGCACGAAAATGGTATCTGATATAGAAATTTAGTGGTACCACTTTTTTAAACACTGATGTGTAAAGTTTGATCGGGAATTCCTAATTTAGTTAATAACGATGTAGAGCATGGTATCTGGTACATAAATTTACCGGTACCACTTTTCGAAATGCTTATTGGCTTTACAGCAAATCAAAGCTACATAATTCCTCAAGTACGTCTTCATGTACGGCAAGACCTTATCTTTCACCCACTCCTCCGGTAAATCATCACCCCAGTCTTCCTTAACCATGAAATCGCTAAAAAAAAACATTGATTTACTCTCTTTTTTTTTTGCAATTTTTTTTAACTGTTTGAAGGGCCATTTCCTATCAAAATTATTATAGACAATTTCTCTTTCCTAGACGTTTTATAGAAAATTATAAAAATGCCCAACTAGGCTCAAAAGAGTTAAACAGCGTCTTTTTGTTACTACGCCTCACTTGAAAAACATATTACCTTAGCGCCTACCCTTGCTTCAATTTTGAAATACTATTTCTATATACTTGCAATTTGTTTTTCTGTGAGCGAATCCAAACAAAGTTATGTATGAAAGCTGTTTTAAAATAACCTTTGATTCTATTTTCATGATGACCACCTTACAGTGCCGCGGCCTATTTGCTTCTTAGCTTCACACGGCCCTGACAATAAGGGTATATACTATAACACTTACGTGATTTTCCTTATGTGCGTATTACCAAAAGCCCCACGTCCAGGAGAAGGTGGTTCGAATCCCACGAATATACTGGTGCGCAGAGGAGTTAAAACGAAAGTGGCCGTTTTGTGACTGTTACCCTTGTCGCAGATAATGTTGAACATGCACTGAAACAATTATACAATTAAAAGAATAAAGATGTCTCCTGAACAAAACGCACTTGGACGTTGCATATATCGCCGTTCGAGCAGAAAATAGATCTGTCGTTTTCGACTCTGAAACTATCGTACTGGCCACGATGTAATAAAGTCAAATCGATTATTACT